CATAATTTCGATTTTACAAGCGAATTTTCTCTAAAGTTTCATCTAATCTCTAAAAGTTCGGAATTCATCCCTATGGAATGAATTTTTCGGAATATATTTACGCACAATCTTATCGCTTTGATAGTAATGGTTCCCACACCTAGCCCGTGTCACAAATAACATTGGTGAAACAACAAATAATTCAAAACCACTTCTCCCGATAAAAAGGAAAACCAATTGTAGCCAAATGACATGCAATTCACTTTGAAACTGAGGTTTCAAAACAGGGAAAGTTCCGATTTTGGCTGCAGTGCGGTTATACACCTTCAAGAACTTCAAATAACCATTTGGAACATTAAGACCAGTACCGTGAACAATTTTATAGAGAAGCACTATATTGTCTGCCAAGACGAAGCCCCGCGTCCTCATCGATGCACCTTTAACAATTGTACAATGAAAACTAACAAGTATGGAACGCCGTGCATGATGTGTGATCGGCCGAAGAAGGACGTCGAATTCAAGGAAATCGATGTGATTTATGAGAATTGGAGGAAGCAGAAACAGGAGAAGAAGCAGGGATATTGAGATAGCAAACTGTTCAACAGAAAGCAGACACTCGTATGGTTAAACGAAAATTTTGAAACAGTAATTTCTAGAGAGGGATTATCAAACCTGCAATGTTGAAAAATACTACAGATTCATGTTTCTATATTAAAGGGGGTGGGAACTCTCATTCGTAGGGGAATTTTAAGGGGAAAAAGGGCGCAATCTCTTGTAGACAAGTAGAGACAGCGCGCTTTTCCGGCCGCATAGCGCAGTCGGTAGCGATTTTGGTGATCTGTCAGTCAGACCCTGGGTTCGAACCCACCTGAGGTACTTATATTTGTTTTTTCAGAGAAAATGTTTTTTGAGTTCCCACCTCCTTTAAGTTCCATTTTAGATAGCTTATCGTTACCTAAGATCTCGTGAGATCTCGCATATTTTTCAATTTTCCCAGGATGAAATCGTCAGACGACGCCGACAAATCGACTCAAACTGTCTAGAGGGATGCAATCTAATCGATGCAATCTAATCTAAAAACTTCTATAATTTCATACAGAATCCGGGCCCCCGCAAGGTCACAAACTTTGATTCTGATTCGGCCGGTTCTGATTCGGGGTAGCTTCAACCCACGTACCTATCACCAAGTTACTACTTCAATTACATAAATGTACATTTAGAAACCGATAAAATTGTGTTACTTTTTTTTCTTCATTGCTTGTGGCAATACTCTTCGTCGCAGTTGAAATACACGAAATAGTTTTTTAAAAAAGTTAATTTCCAGTTTTTCTCGACATCACTTCAAGCATCCCGCTTTGTTTGAAAATAGCCAATATGAAACAGTGAAAATGTTTCAGGACCATCAGAACAACAACAGAACTTTGGTCAAGAACGAGTAAAGCAGTCGGAACGAACGAGTAAAGCAAACGATGAAGACGAGTTGTTGAGGCTAAGAGCAGAGAAATTGGCTGAAGAGTTGAAAAAAGAAAAGGAGAGGAAACACGGTTTCGTGTGAGTTTTTGAATAAAAAATTAGTAATTCATAAGGTTCATAAAACCGAGATCACTTTTCGCAATCTCAACTGTTTTCAAAACACATATAAGCACATTTTTACTTGTTTACCCTCCGTTGCAAGTGAAAAATCATTTGAAGTTCAAAAAAATCCAGAAAGTTACAGTTTCCTTTAGTCCAAAAAAGTTATTATGTTCTGAAAAGTCAGTTCGACTGGTATCCGAAATGACTATGAGAAATATTCAAATTTAGACTTTTTCAGTTATCACAGTTAACACCTCTTCCATTTCCAGCCCATCAGCAACTCCATCCCTACAAAACAACAAGGATCGTTTAAACAGTCTCCTATATGATTTTTCAAGTGATGCCCAGGAAACCAATTACAAGGATAGTTATTCACAACAACAGCAACCAGTTATGACAACAACTGCAGTTTATAAATTTGAGCCAAGGAGTTCCAGGTTGGTGGTTATTCGTTTTTCGTTTTAATCGTGCTTCATAGAATCAATCAGTTTTTCAAGTACCACCTGATTAATGAATATTAAGAAACCGAAAAAAATGCAAAAAAAAAGGAATTTTTCAGAGAACTACCACTGAACCGTGGAGATATTGTCAGAATGACTCGATATGTTGATGCTTACTGGATGGAAGGAGAAAGGAACGGATGGTGTGGAATATTTCCGAATTCTTATGTTCAAATTAAATCTGGAAATCAATCGGATAGTCAAAAGATGCGGGCGATTTATCCATTCACAGCCAGGAGTGATACGGAATTGAGCTTGAAAAGGATTAGTAGGACAGGGGGTTAATGGGTCATTGAATAGTCGATTTTAAGATGATCCTAAATAAATATTCTATAACTGGAATAATGTTTTCTTTCTGTTGTGTTAGGAAAAGAAACACTGCTTCAACTTCCTATCTTGTCTTCCTTGTTATTTCATCTGGCTAATTCCAGGTTTTTTCGTCAACGCCATAAAAATGTCCAATTTTTCCAGGGTGAAATCGTAGCCCGTCGCCGCCAAATTGATTCAAACTGGCTGGAGGGAAGCAATCAAATCGGTATCTCTCTCTGATATGTTTTGATTGGGATTTGCTTGTAGTCCCCTCGACACTGTTCCGAATGACTTGCTCGATGTGAAAATAACCAGCTGAAACGGTTTAAAAAAGTGAATTTCCAACATTTTCAGTTTTCTAAATTTTTCGAAATTTCAACATTTAAGACGCGTTCTCTGTGAGATTGGAGAAGAGTTGTGTTGTCCACTATACATAAAAAGTCAAACCCAATTGTTTGAACTGGTAATATATGTGGTGGATGCCTAAGTACTTCTGAGTCTTTTCCCGCATAACTCATTAGGCCCCGCCCCCTCGTTCCAGATATCGATCGATTTTCAGTGAAATCTGAAAAATCGTTCATAGTTGAGATATCAACGATATCTCTTCACCAATCGATAGAAACTATTTTTATGAGCAAGTTTTGTGTTCAGAAGAAAATTTTAACTTCACGTCTTCATGGAGAAATTTTGATGGTTTTGTGAAAATAATCGTTTTTCATCATTTTTTGACTGTAGTTCGAAGGGGAGGGGTCGATCCAGGCTAAACAATATTATCTAAATTTTCTCAACCCATTATGACGTCGATATGTCATAATTAGAAAGAAATCCAGTGAGCCCTCTTTTTTGATATGAGCCAAAGTGTGTGAAATTAAAAATTCAGAAAATAATCCTTGTTATTTTCTGAGAACTCGTAACATTTTTTGAAATCCATGAAACCGAAATGAAAATATTTTTCGAATCGAAATCCACTGAATCAAGTTGAACTGTTTCCAAAGCACTAACTCACACATCTTCGGCTGTAACGACCGAAATCAGATAAATGACTAAATAGAATTAGTTTAAACCAATGATCAGCTAACACATCTCGCTCTGATCATACAATTTTTCATATCACTTTCGTGGATCTGCGAAAGTTGCATTACTCTGAAAGTTCGGATCATTTGGTATCAAACGCAAATACATATAAATATGTGGAATACTCAAATTAGGACTTCTAAATTTGTTTTTTAAAAAAAGTTCACGGAACTTTTCAACATTTATTTATGGTTGTTATAAAACTGCTTTCAAATTAGAAAAAAGTATCACTAATGTGAACAAACCACTCCTCGAACTTAATGTGATATCGCCTTCAATTTTCTTGTTAATAGTTGAAAGTGGAGAGATAGACTTTGGGAAGTTGCAAAATTGATATATTCTATTTACCACTCTCTGTATAACTTTTATGAAAGTGCAGATTTTAATTCTTCGCTCATTCGAACCATATACTGTTTCTATTCCTCTATTTCTGTCGCAAAGTTGACAATACTTGGTGTTTTCTGCCGAATCTTCCCCATTTGGAGCTCGCTTGAACAATCTCCTATATGATTTTTCAAGTGGCGCCCAGGAATCCATTTACAAGAATAGTTATTCACAACAACAACCAGTTAGGACAATAACTGCAGTTTATAAACTTGAGCCAATGAGCTTTTCGTATTCTTTTTTGACTTTTTGAATCGGGTCATTGAATTTTCTTACAGCTGTGACATATTTGTTTTGAAATTTTTACATACTCCTTCAGCAGTTCACATAATCATTTTCAAACTTCAAAGCTATCTGAAACTGCCTTTATGTTCGATAATTCCGATTTTACAGACAAATTTTCTTTCAAGTTCCATCACATTCCTAAAAGTTGGAGATTTCTTTCTATCTTATGAATGTTTTGGAATATCTTTTTGCACTATCTCATCGCTATAATAATATTGTGAATACGGCGGTGTTTTGGGTTGGGGACACGGTGGCCGTGGCCGAGAGCGTTTGCATTTAGGCGGACATCCCCTTCGGACACATCTCTCGTGAAAAAATAGATGTAGCGCCTAAAACCCTTTAATAGGTTCGCATGGAGGAGTATCTGGCACCCAGATTAAGAGTATGCGTCAAGTTTTTTCTTATCGAATCCGATTTGTTTTTTGTTCATCGCACTCCAATCATCCGAGTGTTGTCGAAATATTATACGAGGAAGTTCTGCTAATATCAGGAGCGAGATTTTTGATCAGTCCTTTTTACTAGTGAATCC